ACTATTTAAATACCCTCTTCATTCAGTCTTGTTATGCCATACCAAGTTTGGTATCGATATCATTATCGAAACGGCAGGAGAGCTAAAAGTCGTTGGCGGCTAGACAGATAGATTGATAGATAGATAGATAGATAGATAGATACGCTCAAGTTCGCCCAAGTTCGCTAACTTTTAATAACGATTAAGCATTCTCAAATCATACCTACTTAGGCAAACGTCACGCGATACCCCCCCTCCCCCACTCTGCGACGCATTTACTCAAGTTTTCCGCCTGGGAAGATGCGGCTGGGATTTTACGGCGAAGCTCTTCTCTTAGTATGAATTTGTCCTGCGTCAGGCGCAACCGGCAGTATCAGACATACAGATAGAGACAAACAGACAGAAAGACAGGTGGACGGACAGATGAATCGACGGAAGTATGGATGGAAGTATGGCCTGGTGAGACGCTCAGGCGGACGCCTCGACGGATGGATGGACGGGTGGATGAATGGACGGACGGACTGATACATCGACGGACGGACGGTTGCAGGAACAAACGCACGGACGGATGGAAGCACAGAGAGACAGATGAACATACATACATACATACATACATACATACATACATACATACATACATACATACATACATACATATAGAGACAGATAGACAGACAGATGGACGGACGGACACTTCGCCCCACTCAGCATCATTCACTCCGTAGATATGCTGCGATTTTAAAAACTTATTTTGGTTCTTATTGTGCGAAAACACCAATGCTCAAAATGTCACCAATTTGAAACCACCCAAATGAAGGGCACCCGTAACTTACGCTGTATGAGGGATTAGATTACAAAGTACACGTCTCAAATTATAATGTACTCTGTCGTGTATAGAAAAGAGAACACGGAAGCGTGTGGCTGGCACTCGGCGGAGGCCGCCAACAGCGCCATCAACCGAAAGCGAAAGAAAACATGTGCAATTTCGCTGTCATGTATCGACGAAGAAAATAACCAGTCAGTGCAGTTAGACAAGCGCTGCTGGATTATGCTTCCGCTCTAATCAAGCAACAGGCGATGCCTGAAGCTCATCGTCTGCCGCGAACAAATCAAGCGGGGAGCGCCAGCCCTTGTTACACGTAAATGCAATGTCTGTAGGCTTTCGCGAGTTGCACTTCAACTAAACTAGAGATGTAATAGGCGAGAGGGCTGCGCTCATGTGGAGGTGGGATTGTTGTTTATCACTGAATTATACACAGTGTCGTTCAGTGGTACTCTGTATCATGCGAGCTCCATGGCTTCGCCTCGAAGAGTATTTATTTCGATAAGCCAACCATCATTACGTTTGCAAGAAATTGATTCGCAGCATTATAGTGGTACCGTGAACAAAGATGAGAATGTTCATGCTGCTCACGCCGAAATTCTCGGAGTCGCTCTAGCGATACGATACGCTATCCGTGTTCGCAGTGAGGTCTACATATCGACAGACTCGCAACAGGCATGTCGGGCCTTCCTATCAGGACGTTTCATCTCATGAGCGGCCCACTAATTTCGCAATCGAATTCCGCTGAGTCAAACAGTACTTTTCACGTCCACATACTCTGGACTCCTGGTCTCTGCCGGGCAATGAACGCGCACACGCTGTTGGCCGCGAAATTTCCCTCCGGCCCCACAAGGCGAGGTGACCATTTCTCAGTGGGGGGATTCTCTTCTCACTTACAACGACATTCTTCGTCACTACAGGAACGTCCGTCGCACTCGGAGCGCATACCGCCATCTTTCTTGCGAGAGGAGGCAGTAGCGTTACGCCAGCTACAAACTAACACACTTCCCAATCTAGTATGACTTCACAAATTCTACCCGCAGTGCTATGCAGACCGTCGCCCCAGCTTTGGACACTCACCCACGACCTTCCATGTCTAGACCGAGTGCACTGCGAGCATCTCTCCTCCCTTACCTGCTTTTCTTAACCCTTTACGTAACGAAGAGCTGTGGAATGACGCTCTCCGCGATGGACCTCCCGAGGTCCTCCAGGCTTTGATACAGTGGGCCAGACTCGTCGCTGGAGTCGTCCTGGGAGCCCCGAACTAGGATTTCCTCCCACGCCCTCTTTCTTCATGCTTTTGGGAATAAAGACGTTTCTCTCTCTCTCTTTCTCTTTCGGGAGAATCACTTGAGGAAAATCCTGAGACCACCTTGCCTGGTATAAATCTCAGAATTCGAGCATGTCTGTCAAAGGGTATGAGTGGACATCAAGAAAACGATGGTGGTGATTCGAATCGGCTAAATTGTCACTACTTGTATACGAAAATACACGCAGCCCCCCATTTGATGAAAACCGCTGCATCAAGTGAGCGGCCGCGTTTTTATCACTTGAGTCGATGGACTGATTTCTTGTCGAGGAACATTTAGAATACCGGGACAAAGATTGCATTTACTGAGCTAGTTTACACGAGTGCTTGGGCTTGAAGATGATGCACGAGGAAAATCTCGAATGCTCAACCCGTTGCCTGGTGACTTGATGGGCGTGCTTAGTTCAACTTCGTTTCACTGGGACACGAGGCAGATAGCCGTAAAGATAACCGGTGTTCCACTCGAGGAACGAGGGAAAATTTTGGAGGTCAGCATTGTTGTCTTCAGTAAGCAACACAATGCCTCTATAAGGAAGAGGCCCCTAAAATTAGTGACGATGGTAGTGCAGGCCTCCAAGAAAGAACGCCGTGTGAAGGACACTCGGCATAGGCGCAGACCACGGGCAACAACTACGGACGAAGACCGTGTAACCGTAACTCCAGCGGCAGTGAGACCACAAATAACAGTTCATTAAATTCTACAGGGACTGGGTATCGAGGCATCCGAGGCGACTGTGGTGCTTCGCCTCGCAGAAGCTGGCCCTAGAAAGAGGGTTGCCTGAATGAAGCCTTTCATGTGAAAAACAAACCAAGCAAAACAGCTGCAATTTGCTAGCGACCATGAACATTAGACCACCTTTGACGAGGAGAGCTCGTTCACGACTTGGTGTGACCAGAGGCAAAGAGTGTGACGCCCAGAACGCAGTCGGTTGGTAAGAATTATTGTTCAAAATATGAATAATTCATTAGCTTAAAGTACCAACAAGACAATTGCCATTTTTATGCATTTTATAATAGTATAGTGTTTCATATTATCATGGGGTCGTGACAACGACGAAGGGAGTAGACAGTAGGTTTAAAATGAAACTGTTTATTCAGCCGAACTTGTGGCCACAAAAAAGGAAATTGAGATTACAAGACACTGGCACTGATGTCGGCGAACTGAGCGTCGGTCGTCGATCAACTGACAAGTGACGAAGCGTGTCGGCATTTATACACTCACCATGGAACATTCCAGCGTTATCGCTAGCGTCGACATCGATTCCACAATAAGATGAAATGCTCATGACGTGGGCGTAATCTCAACAAAGTGATCTACAGCAGCCCTAAGGCTTCTCGAACACTGTAGACGCGGTTTGTGCTGAGAATGGCGTACAGCGTAACAGGGAGATAAGAAAACTTGAGAAAGGAGCGTGGCATTGCCCCCCTCTGAAAAAGCACCCTCCTGATGCTTTAACATAGTGCTTCATAAAGAAAGCAACAGAATACCAATCAAGAAGGGTGTAAGGCAGGGGGACACAATCTCCCCAATGCTATTTACCGCGTGCTTACAGGAAGTTTTCAGAAGCCTAGAATGATTACAGTTAGGGATAAGAGTTAATGGAGAATACCTTAGTAACCTGCGCCTCGCCGATGACATTGCATTGCTGAGTAACTCAGGGGACGAATAGCAACTCATGATTAAGGAGTTAGACAATGAGAGCAGAAAAGTGGGTCTTAAAATTGTTCTTTAGAAAACGAAAGTAATGTACAACAACCTCGGAAAGGAGCAGCGCTTCGAGAGAGGTAATAGTGCACTTGAAGTTGTAAAAGACTATGTATACTTAGGGCAGGTAACCGCAGAGCCGAACCATGAGATTGAAGTAGCTAGAAAAATAAGAACGGGGTGGAGCACATTTGGCAAGCACTCTCAAATCATGTTAGGTAGATTGCCACTATCTCTCATGAAGAAGGTATATAACAGCAGCATCTTGCCGGTACTTCGCTACGGAGCAGAAACCTGGAGACTTACAAAGAGGGTTCAGCTTAAATTGAGGACGACGCAGCGAGCAATGGAAAGAAAATTGGTAGGTGTAACCTTAAGAGTAAAGAAGAGAGCAGAGTGGATTAGGGGACAAACGGAGGGGTTAAGGATATCATAGTTGAAATAAAGAAGAGGAAATGGACATGGGCCGGGCATGTAGCACGTAGACAGGATAACCGCTGGTCATTAAGGGTAACTAACTGGATTCCCAGAGAAGGGAAGTGGCTTAGGGGGAGACAGAAGGTTAGGTGGGCAGATGAGATTAAGAAATTTGTGGGTATAAATTGGCAGCAGCAAGCATAGGACCGCGTTAACTGGCGGAACATGGGAGAGGCCTTTGTCCTGAAGTGGACGTAGTCAGGCTGATGATGATGATGATGCTTTAACAGAAGATGAAAGTGCAATAAAATTGTAAGAAATTACAAATATAAAGTACAATATAGCAATATAACAACGACAAAATACACTGTTTCAGTTCGTTAACGTTCATGAAACGGATTTAGGCGCGCGACATGGATGACGTCAGGTCGCGATCGGCGCCGTTGTGAGTTCGTAATGCCGTCGAGGACAACCTGGTTGTCGTGTGAGCCGAGATATTTTATTGCCCTGTATGGTACGAAGTACCGTCGCAGAAGTTTTTCACGAAGTACACGTCGGCTTAACGCCGTCGATACCTAGACTCGTTCACCGGGCTGGTATGCCACGAAGCGTCGCCGAAAATTGTAGCGGTGGTTGTCGGTCATATGCTGATTCTTGATACACAGGTGAGCGAGTTGAAGAGCTTCTTCAGCGTGCTGAATATAGAGGGTGACGTCGAGGTTTTCTTCGTCAGCGACGTTAGGCAGCATTGCGTCGAGCGTCGTTGCCGGGTTTCTTCCGTAGACCCAAGTGTACGGTTGCATCTGCGTCTTCTCTTGCACGACCGTGTTGTACGCAAAGGTCACGTACAGAAGGAAGGTGCCCCACGTCTTGTGTTCGACGTCAACGCACATGGTCAGCATGCTGGCGATTGTCTTGTTTAGCCGTTCGGTTAGACTAATGGTCGGTGGGTGGTAAGCGGTGGTGGGGCGGTGGCTTGTCTGCCTATGTCTTTAGATCGCTTGAGTCAAATCTGCAATAAAGGCCATACCGCTATCGGTGATGATGACCTCTGGGGCGCCATGACGAAGGAGGATGTTGTCAACAAAAAACTTGGCTACCTCTTCGGTAATACTTTTGGGAGGGCCTTTGTTTCGACGTAGCGGGTGAGGTAGTCAGTAGCTACGTCAATCCATTTGTTTCCTGAATTCGACGTCGGAAACGGCCTCAGTAGGTGATTCCCTATTTGTTGGAATGGTCCGCCAGGTGTTTCGATCGATTGAAGAGAGCCTGCTGAAATGTCGGTGGTGTCTTGCGTCACTGACAGTCTCGGCATGCCCTCACGCAACGAGTGACGTCGGTGGTAAGGCGCAGCCAGTAGTACTATGCCAAGCCGTCAGCGTCTCGGAGAAGAGGAAGAAGTTGTGCCGCAGCTGCTCCACATGTGCTGGAGCCAGCACGAGAGAAGAAGACGCGAGCAAGAATGACAGCGTATGTGGACGTCCATGCAAGAGCAGGGATAAATAAAATATGCAGGAAACCAAACGCCGCACGTCTTCCTACAAGTGGTGACCCAGAATTCAAGTGGCACCACACACCTGCTCGTCTTTTCGTCAACGCACTGAGCGTCACGGCCAACTCTGCTTCTTCAGCCCCATTCATTTGGGCTGACCATGGACATCACACCGAACAGCGAGGCCACGCTGAATCTCACGGTACCTGACCCTATCGTCGCTACTCTCAGACTCCCGAAGTTTCGGCAGGCAGACTCTGAACTCTGCTTTCTGAGCGTCGAGCAACTCTTCCGGCGACAACGGGTAACGTCACAAACAGCGAGGTACGATTACGTCATCAGCGCGTTACCCCCCGCTGTCATCGCAATCGTAAGAAGCATTCTACGTTTTCCACCTCCTGACAACCTCTATGACACCCTTAAAGACTAGCTTATACGCCGGACAACTGAGTCTGAACAGCGTAGGCTGCAGCTGCTGCTCACTTTGGAAGAGCTCGGTCACCGAACGCCTACAGAGCTTCTGCGTCGCATGCGACACCTGATCGGCGACCACTCTGCTGCATTGGAAGCATACATCCTACGCGAACTCTTCTTAAAGCGACTGCCGCAGCAAGTGCGGATGATTTTGAGCGTATTGTCTACAGAAACCCTCGACTCAATAGCGTGGATAGCCGACAAGATTATAGATATTACGGAGCTTACGGAGATCGCGGAGCTTTTGCGTCGCATGCGACACCTAATTGGCGACCACTCTGCTGCATTAGACGCATCCATCCTTCTCGAACTCTTCTTACAGCGACTGCCACAGCAGGTGCGGATGATTTTGAGCGTATCGTCTACAGAAACCCTCGACTCACTAGCGAGGATATCCGACAAGATAATGGATATCGGTGAGCCATCCATATCTGCCATCGAGAGACCACGTGAATCTACGCTCTCTGCACCAGTCCACGACGACTGCTTGGTGCGTCTTCTTCAAGCTAACGAGGAGCTCGTACGCAAGTTGGATCAGTCGGCCACTGAACTGAGCGCGCTCAAGTTACCCACCGCCGCAACGCGTCACGACAACGACGCCAAAGCCACGAAAGATCGCCAAGTCTGCCTTTAAGCGTCTGCTGGTACCACCACCGATACGGAGCTCGAGTTTATCAGTGCTAATAGCCATGCCAGTTTGCGGGAAACACACGGGCCACGCACTGATGGCGGCAAGTGTTTCAGGCCCGACATACAGCCGCCTATTCCACGTCACGGACCACGTCACCAAAGTCTGCTACCTCATAGACACAGGTGCCGAAGTGTGTGTTGTTCCTCCTACGTTGGAGGACCGCCGACGATGCAAGACTTCGCCGCTTGTCACCGCGGTCAATAATTCGACCATACAGACCTATGGACAGAGGCCTGTCACGCTTGACATCGGCCTGAGACGCACGTTTCGGTGGATCTTCTCAATCGCCGACGTGCGTGTACCGATCATCGGTGTGGATCTTCTTTGGCAAGCTTGTGGTAGACCGACGACATAGCCGTCTCGTGGATTCTGAGACCCTCCTCGCACATGAAGGCGTGACATCAAATTTGCCACCCTTGCGTCTCGTGGAAACTCATGCCAAAGTCTCCCCACTGTGGTCTACGCTTTTGCAAGAATTTTCTGACCTGTTTCATGCTCCATATCTTGAAGACCCGATACGCCACAACGTCACTCACGACATAGTAACAGTAGGAGCGCCGGTGTCTGCACGGGCTCGTCGTCTCACTCCTGACCGCTACAAGATTTCACTCCAAGAATTAGAGCACAGGCTTGAACTCGGACACGTCCACCCCTCTTCCCGTGCCTGGTCATCACCGCTACACATGATTCCGAAGCCTTCAGGTAACTGGTGACCACGCAGTGACTACCGTGCCTTCAACAAAGTGACGGTACCCGACCGGCATCCGATACCACACATTCAGGACTTCACGGCATCTGCATTGTTCCAACGTATTTAGCAAAATCGACTTGTTAAGGCATACCACCGAATACCTGTCGAGCCTTCCGACGTACCGAAGACTGCCATTATGACACCTTTTGGCATGTTTGAATACACGCGTATGCCCTTCGGTCTACGAAACGCCGCAAAAACCTTTCAACGGTTCGTGGACCAGGTACTTCGTGATTAGACCTTCTGCTTCGCGTACATCGATGACATCCTTGTCTTCAGCACCACTGCAGAAGATCACGAACTTCACCTGTGTCAGGTTTTCACACGACTCCGCAAATATGGACTAGTCGTCAACGGACCAAAAAGCGAGTTCGGTGTTTCCTCACTGGACTTTCTCAGCCATCACGTAGATTCGCGTAGGATCTCTCCACCGGCCGCGCGTGTTGAAGCTATATTGCAGTTTCCCTGGCGAACAAATACGAAGAAACTACGTGATTTCCTCGGGCTTGCCAACTATTACCGGTGGTTTATTCCTCATTGCGCTGTCATCTTGAAACCACTCCACGCACTTCTATCCGGTCAAACGAAGCCCAACGCTTCCATCTTCTGGACGCGGGATGCAGGGATAGCTTTCAGTTTACTCAAGGAAGCTCTGGCTAACCCAACGCTCCTTGCGCATCCATAGAGCAACGCGATCACGTCACTCACAGTAGGCGCCTCGGGCGTTGCCATAGGAGCAGTTTTACAGCAGTTGGTCGATGGAGTTTGGCAGCCGGTCGCTTTCTTCTCACGGAAGCTCTCACAGACAGAGCGTCGTTAAAGCACCTTTGGTCGCGAACTGCTCGCGGCCTATTTGACTGTCAAGCACTTTTGACATTTTCTAGAACGTCGGCACTTCCATAACCTCACCGGCCACAAGCCGCTTACGCGTCAGTCGACCGCTACCAACTCTGCCCACAACCCACGTGAGATCCACCAGCTTGTCTATAGACCGGAGTTCATGAGTGATATCCAGCACATCAGGGGCTAAGACAACCACGTTGCTGACGTGCTTACCCGAATAGAAATCAACGCAACTATAAATGAGCACCCACCAGTCAATTTTGCAGCCATGGCTACTGCACAACAGGACGACAGCGAGTTTCAGGTGTTGCGACTCTAAGAGAACTTCCTCAAGCTTGAATATGTCCAACTTCCAGGTCGCACAAATCCCCTCATTTGCGACACCTCTGCCGATTGTCCTCAACCTTACGATCCAGCATCATTTCGCCGCAGAGTCTTCGACGCCTTGCATTCTTTGTCACACTCTAGTATACGTGCGACTCAGAGCCTCATCACAGGGCGATATCTATGGCCTCGAATGAACATCGACGTCCGCTGCTGGACACGTGTTCTCAAGTGCCAGCTAACCATAGTCCAGCACAACATGTTCAGCCCACTGGGTACCTTCACGCCTCCTGACTCGCGGTTGTCACGCGCATCTAGACCTTGGAGGCCCTTTTCCCGCATCGCAAAACAGCCGGTATATGCTAACCTGCGTAGACCAGTTCACGCGATGGCCTGAGGCACTACCCCTCACCGACATCATGGCAGAGCCAGTCGCCCGCCGACTCATCACCGTGTGGATAAACTGCTACGGAGTTCCCAAGACCATCACAACGAATCGTGGTCGTCAAGTTGACTTCGCGCTCTTCCGCACCTTGTCCCGAATGCTTGGTGTCAACCACATCAGGACGACGGCCTACCACCCGATGTCGAATGGTATGGTTGAGCGATTTCACCACCAACACAAAGCTTCGCTCATGGCCTTGCAATCGTTGATACCCTGGACGGAGCGACTACCACTCGTCCTCCTCGCCCTGCGCAGCACTATACGTACGGATGCGTCCTGCTCCTCAGCTGAGCTCGTATTTGGCACTACCCTAAAGCTTCTAGACAGTTTTTTGACACGTCACTGGTATCGCCATTGGACGTAGCTGATTATGCCAGTCGCTCCAGGAATGTCATGAGAGATGTGTCCCTTATTCCTGCACGTCAACACTCACGCCCAAGTTTCGTCAGTCGTGCACTCCGCGACTGCACCTACGTCTTCGTATGACATGACGCAATCAGACCACCACTGCATCCTCCTTACGACGGACCCTTTAAGGTAGACAAACGTTGCCCAAAACATTTCGTTCTGTTGCTTAACGGACGTGAAGACAGTGTCTCCATTGACCGCATGAAGCTGGCTTTCCTCGACACTGACGCCGTCTTCGAAGACTACAAGCCATCTGCGAAAACTAGACGAATGTGCTTCCAATATAAGAACCTACAACCTGTTCATATGGTTCGCTTCTTCACGCACGGGCTACCTCGCTAGAGAGGGGAGGGGGGCTATGGCAAGCTGTTAGCCCCTCGGAGAAGGCGAAGAAGTTGTGCCACAGTTGTTCCACGTGTGTTAGAGCCAGCACGAGAGTAGAAGACGCTAGCAAGAACGACAGCGTCTGTGGAC